AAGTTATTAGTTGCCTATAAAATGAACAAAACATAACTTTATCAGCCTATGTAAACTTTTTTAAGTGAAATGTTTGAGGAATCATGAAAGCCTTTCATGGGGTAAAATTATCATAAAGAAAAAAACTGTTAAAGTAATAGCACGATCCTTTATTATTTGCTGTATTCTTTTTAGGATACAAAGTATTTAAATGAACTTCGACAAATATATATTTCTATAAGAGGTATTTCAATTTTACATGAACATATATTTATAAAAGCAATTTCATCTGAAATAATTAGCGACGATATCAAGTTGTGTGTTCAGCTTCTCTTAATTATTATTTAATCAATAAAATTGCAGAGAAAGGTGTCAGAATTAAAGTATCAATCTGTTAACTAAATAACTGATTAAAGTCTTTGGACATTTGAAAACATTAATTTTAGAAAGTGCTTTAAAAATGAATTATGATCTTCAAACATTATTAAAAGTTAAAGCTAAAGATTAAAAATAGTTGAAGAAATATTGACTATGATAGTGTTGTTCATTAATGCAGTCATCCTATACAATAAGTACCAATCGTTTTGCTCTAAAACGTATCATGATTATTGAATGTAACTAGTTCTTAGAGAATTGTAAGAAAATCGTACTTCATTGATTATTTCAGATGGAAAGTGGTTAACTTTTTCAAAACAATTTCAGATCATGTAAAAATTCATAAATAGTTTTTTTGATGGAGTTTTTTCTCTGAGCTGGGTGGTTTGGTCGTGGAGGTTTCATCGTTCTTCTGAACAACATCGTCAGCACATCGAAATCAGGTTCCATTTCGAACAAATCAAACATGAACAGGAATAAAATTAGTTGATGAATTAAATGAAAATAAGAACTTTGGGTACCTAAACTGACATATTTGTGAGAGAATATAAACATTTAACATAAAGACTATTGTTTTTTGAGTTGTGTAGTGGACTCCAACAGTTCAGACGTAAATACACTATTTCTTTGAATTTATTTTGTGTTGTTTTATTTGATTCATATAGTTGATCTTTAGAGCTGTAATTGATCAGTCTCTTCTCGTCAAATGTGCACCCTGTGTAGATTGCGTCGATACTGCCTTAAGTCACAAGTATTATAAGCAAAGATGGATGGTAGCTAGCAGTGAAATCCAGGACGCGCGTTCCGTCCTATTCGGTACTCGGTCCATGTCCCAGAGCGAACACCAACTCTGCGATGCAGATATATCCAGCTGACGAGTCCCGAATAGGACGAAGCGCGCGTCTAGGATTCTGCCGCTAGCCACCACCTCTCTTTACTGAAAAATTGTTTCTTTATTTGTCTGGTAAAGTAAAATAGTTTGAGAACATTTTACCAAATGTCAGTCATTTTGAACTAGATCGTGTAAGCAAATGATGTCAATTGAAGAGGAAAATACCATTCTCATAAAACGTATTACTTTGGAAAAATTAAAAATTATTTTAAAACTCTGCGTTTTTCATCATTTACGTTGTATCAATTAGGTTGGTAAGCATCGATTTTCAATCATTTCTACATATTCACGATTCTTTTGTATAGCACCCTAAGTAAAACTTTCAGTAGACAGCAGTTATTCAGTTCGTTATCATTGGTTTTGAAATCCTAAAAATTAATTCGTAAACATTTACACTTAAATACTCAATTGCTACTAGTAGATTTTACTTCGAAATATTTACATATCTTTTGTATTAATTACCCTTAACTATATGAATAAACGATTATTGCACAAATTTACTTACTATAAGAAAATAACAAGTTAAGAAAGAAAGTTGGCCATCATATTATTTTGTGATACTTTTCGATTCATTTTGATAGCAACCGATATATATATATACCGACAAGTTTTAATCCATGATAAAGTTACGTGAAAAGTTAAATTTATTTATTATTAAATTATGTAACGTAGTATTTGAATACAGAAGTAGGGCAACTTTTCACTATTTTCAGGGATAGGTTATTTTGAAAATATATAGTATTACACTATAATGACATAAATAATAAATGAATAGAGATGAAATGTTAGTAGAGTTTAGATACCTGAACTGATTCGTTTTGTTAACGTCAGGATCTACAGCAGTTGTTTGAAATTTACTAAGATCGACTTTGCTTATCGAATTTTACGATTTCTTTTAAATTACCATCAAGATCTTTAAATCTGCCTAATTAGAGAAACTAATGGGTTAATACTAAAGTTAGTTTATCCGACATTGCTAAATGTCTAAGACATTATTGCATAAAACTTCAATTTATCTTTCTGTAAAATGATCTATGTTAGGTTTGGCATTAATAACAGTACATTATCTAATGCAAACGATAGAATGCATTAGTCCCACTCAAAGACTTTTTAAAGTTAGAATTCACTACAACATAAATCACTTTGAACAACGTTTTTTTTAGTAGAAGAAAAGCCTATGAACACGCAACACTTCCATTAAATCTGATTATTTTTGATCGAAGTCATGAGTCAATTGAAGCTAGATCACCATGGAAAACCTGGAAGCACCGGACGACTGTTTCGTCCTAATTTAAAAATCTCCACAACACCTAAACTGATAATTACCATGTGCTCACTAATGACTAGCTTCGTGAGAAAATTCTCGGAGTTCTGGTGAGAACCCATGATTAGTGAAGCTAATCCGTGTCGGGTAAAAACAGGTGTCTACCGTAGTACAATGGAAGATTAGACATTGACACCATTGGATGCTGGTTCAATGGTCTAGTTGGTTAAGCGCCTGGCGCGAGACTGATAAGTCCTGGGTTCGAGTCTCGCGGAATCCGGGATCGTGAGTGCGCACTGCTGAGGAGTCCCATACTGGGACGAAACGGCCGTCCAGTGATTCCAGGTTTTTCATGGTGGTCTAGCTTCAATTGACTTATGATTTCAATCAAGAACTTAACAATCTCCACAGCACCCAAACTGATAAATCTGATAATATTTAATTGCATCGTAAGTTGATAAATAAACTATAAAAGAACATGTTTGTGAAGTTCCAACTAATTACTATTTTGCGTTTAGCTAAAAATTACATTAACTTGTAGTGTCGGTTATTATGTTAAGCTTATATACCTTATTCTAGCTTTCGGACATCCCATTCTATTCATTCTACTCGAGTTACATTCTGACCCTGTTATTTATTCGTTTATCAGTCTTGACTGATGAGGGCGTAGGTGTGTGTACAGTTCTTATCCCATTACTCACCACATGCCTGTAATTTATTTTTGTGTGCCTATAAATATTCATTAACGCTTGGTTAAATGGGAGTTGGCTAACCCGCCATCTCCACTGCGCGTCGTTTTGCTTCGTTCTATTCCATTCACTTTATATACAGAATATATGTATTCACAACTCCATTCTCGTTATTCGACTTATTTAATCCCGTTATTGACTAACGTGACTTAAGCCGATGATTATATACGAGGATAGGTGACATATATATTTCAACAACAATCATCAATACAATCACCTTGGAATCAGAACCCGGGCCACTAAAGTGGAGAGCCCTTTCGACAACATCATTCGATCTAAATGACGACGAAATTACGGGCCCCACAAAAATCTCAGCAGCGAATTCAAAAACAATGGAAAAAATGGAAACCTGTGTCTGTGAACATAACTGTTACTAGTAGGTTTTCAATCACCATTACCCAATATATTTTAGTACAGGGATTTGGAGAACATTCATTAACTCGTCAAATAAGAGATAACGTATTGTTAACAAGAAAATAAAAACACTTGTTTAAAATATAATTAATTACTAAGCCATGATCTCTCTGAATGCTTCAACCACAAACTGTAAAAGTGTAAGACCTAATAAGGAATAAAATGTAACAATATTTATTTTTGGGAACTGATGTAGTAATAGAATTGCTTATTTCCTGGATCATACTTATTTTTTATTGGCACCTAGCATTAAGAAGTATTACTCGGTACATTTTTAATACCAATATACGAATAATAATAACAATAATAATAGCTTTTAGTTGGTATTAAAGTTTTATTTGTTATCTCAGAAAAAATTATGTTAAATAGTTCCAAACTCTACATGATCTCAGACTATCATCACAAAAAGAATAAATTGTATGACTTAAGATAACTTAAAACTGAGCACATAATTAATTAGAAAAAGTGAAGATCAGCGAAATGAATTTCTTTTTAACAATATTATTTATAAAACCTGTACATTCGTATATAATTATTCAAAAGGTTAATTGAATTAAAGTTGTAGATGTTTGTTCTTCTATCGTGAAGGCTATTAGCTGATAAATCTTGATAATTTAAAAGCTTATTCGTACATGAAATCAAGCACTGGTTGTCCGTAAAATAGGGGTTATGAATATCTACAATTTTATATTGGTAAGCCTTGTGAATTGATTGAATAATTTAATATCCTATGAGGAAAATTTATTTGTTCGCCTATTTAAAGATAGAATGCTGGGTCTAGTGAGAATCTATTACTATGACATAGAATTTCGTAATATGATTTTTGAATTCTGATACTTAAAAAAAAACTATAAAATGAAGACATTTTTACGGACTTATAAATTGTAAACTGTTAGACGATTCAGTAACCAAAGTTAATTTTAATAAAAAGCTCGAAACAAATATTATTACTATTAGATTATGATTAGAAGTACAGTCAAAATAATTCAAATCTATTGTAAAACTGCTACTAAGACCACAAATATCTCAAAGAAAAAAAATACCATAAATAAAGATCATCACTTCTAATTACGAGGAACAACTGGTGATAGCATTATATCCATCTGATTAACCAGGGCATCTGTCGAAGTCAAGCAGCTTCACTAACATCATTACTATAATACAATATTTTTCAGATACCTTTCTATTGAACTCGAGTAAAAATTATCGTCATTTTGATGACGTAAAATCAGATGACATAAAGTTTATTAACATTGGTTTTTTGAGGTTTTCAGACACTATTTAGTAATTAATATAATAAAATTTGAAACGTTTTGTAAAAACTTACTAGAAGTAACATTGCATAGCTTCGTTGACTCTGTTTGTGGAGATAAGGAACTATCGAATTCGTTACACAGTTTGGGTCCTGAATCAAACTGGTGATTACTAGATATGTTTGGCGCTCCTTTATGTGGATGGTCAACCGATTCACTATTCTTTGTAACTAGACAGTCTTTTTTACAATTCGAACTTCTAGCATCGAAATAAGAAGTGGCGCCTTTGAAAAAAATTAAAAATATGCCATAGCTTTTAGCTTGTGTAATGCAGTAGGAACAAAAAGCTATAAATGAACGTTTAACTGTTTTATTTAAAATAAGACACTCAACATGTAACCATTTAACACAAAACAACAGCCATTGCCATTAAATATTTACCAAAGATAATGTCAGTAAACATTAAATTAAAATTCATTAGTGATACAAATAAACAACAAACTGTTAAACAACTGACAATATCCATATTCAACTACTGTGACAAGTCTAAAGATCAAAATAATTACGCTTTCTCCATATAGGTGTAACTGCTATACAATCAACAAACTATGTTTGGATAAATAAAAGTAATGAATTATATGTCCTCGTTCGCCTATTAGAGTGTAAACAATTTACACATTTTAGAAGTTCATGATCATAATACTGTTAGAAAAATATTTTTTTCTTAAACTTTTTTTTCATTAAATATAACTAATTACTATTCAATTGATAGAAGACTTAAGTGGACCGAACTTTCACCTGAATTCGCATTTTAATGCAACCCAAAATTTGATAATAAATGTATATTTCTTCTATCTGATTCAATTTTTGAGGGAATTTTCGTTCTCTAATTGCAAGTTTTTAAAACCAGACTTAGAGATTTTAGTTTAGGTGTCACACTCAAAGGAGCTTCATGTAAAACGAAAGCATAGAAAATGCTTGAAACCCGATTCCATAGCAGTAACCAACAAACATAATCCCAGAAGGAAACAAAAATAACTTTCTCAACAGAATACCAGACTTTTTAAAACACAAGATTGAGTTAACATTTTGATCAATAATCCCATACACATATGATACAAACACAAATTAAATCTTATTTACTAGAGAGAAGTCAGAAGGTCAATCCATTTTAAAAGTTGAACTGAGAACTGGAACAGGACCTTTAAAATATTTGGTTGAAAGAAGAACTAATCAAACCTTAATCGAAGGAGATCATGGTTCATTTGTCAGCTCCTTCTCTAATACACAAAGCGAGCATACATATTTTGATATTTTAGGACGAAAGTAAATGTATGAAATCATTAATCAAAAAGGGAATGAATGAATGATATTGATTATGTAACAAAATAAAACTCGTGCGACTTTGGTTAACCCAAAATGTTTACAATACTAAAAATAACTCAAAATGGTATCAATTCCTTTAGATACCTAAAACGTCAAGCAACGGAAAGATTTAAATAACTAAAGCATCAAAAATGAAGAGTAAAATAGCTATCATTACTCTGTAAAGACGTGTCCTATGTTTTCTTCATATACTGCATTGTAGCTTTTATAGAAAAGAGATTTATTATCTTAGCAACACGAGTATTTGATAATAGACAACAGCTCTGTTTATGTAAATCGTTTATTGGTGCCCTACTGCGCAAGCTTTTTGTATTATATGTAAAATAAATAACTTATGTTTGAAAAATATTTATGGAACGATTTTGGTGAACATTGTTTAAGATCTTTGGTTTCACAAATGTCATGTTAGAGGAAGGACTGAACTAGCCGATTTTACGAGCTAGAAAACATGCTTCAATGATTGAAAGTGATCAGTTTATCATATAAACGGGTGTGCTATTTTAGTAATTATCCACGGAAAAACAGTGAAACGTTCGTTTTAACTTCTATAGTCACCTAAAGAATAAAATGATTATTGTCAGTGGAAGTTACTTTGATGAAGATGTTCCCATAACGTTAAATTAATGTTTTATTAAAGATATGCCATTCAAAAAGTTCATTTGAATCATTTTTACTATTCATTAACCAGGGATTTACATGTTTACTTACAAATCATTATGGTAATCAGATTCGCAAACACATGAAAAGACAAAATATTATTGGCATATATCACCGTTAATAGTCATGCAGTCTTAAGCAGCGAGCATACATATGGAAATTATTAATTAATCTAACCTACATATCAGACTATAATCTCGAAAATTGACATGGGTTTATCACTTCTCCATTTTTCATTACAGAAAAGGTTTACAAGTACCACAACATGCAAAGCATATGTAGTATTCTTGATCTTTTAATGCAGATTGTGCTACTACAATTTGCCAAGATAAATATTTTAAGACTTTACAGGCACTGTAACTGTTACAAAACGTTTTTAACTATTGTAACGCGTTTACTTGTTTGAGCATGCTTCAACCCTTAAAACTCAGATCGCTCATTACAATATGCCTTTTTTGATACATTCGGAGTACCTACACCAGCAGCATTATAAACAAGGATGGATAGTGGCTAGCAGTGGAATCCAGGACACGCGTTTCGTCCTATTTGAGACTCGTGATATGGATGTGCCTGAGTCCTGGAGTCGGTGTTGATTCCGGAACCTAAACCCACTACCATTCTCTTCAAACGCCATCTCGTTATCCACTTAGCTACTAAGTCCAGATGGTCACCAGCTTATGCGAGTGGGTGGAATTTTAATGCATTTTTGTATCGGTTGTTTGAATCGTTTCATTGATGTTTAGGAGTGCAGTGGGAAGATTTATAAAAGCAATACAAAAATGAATTATCTACACCACAATTTCAGACTAAACTTAAAACTTAATTTCACTGGGATATTAGCGACTTTGGATAATGTGCTTTCTTTATTGTGGTGACTAATCATCATTGGATGTAGATAAACGAACACAGGGAAGCGATATACTCAAATTATAGGTGCTGTTTTTTTCATTAAATATGATGTATATTACATATGAAGGTCCATTTGTAAAACTAATACTAATAAGATGTTTTCATTAGAAAGCTAATTTATAATCAAATAAAATATAGCAGATTTATAATCTTCTATTCCAGTAGTTTCTCTAGATTTTTTCATGATAATACCAGGAACTGTATGCATGAAATACTTTTATTGGCATACATAGTACTTAATAATATATTTAGAAGGCATTTTAGACAACTCGTAAAGTAACCCTAATTTTCACCTAGCAGAAACGTTTTCAACCACTAAATTCTTCATCATCGTCTTTGTATTACAATAATGACATAGCAGTGATAGTTATCTGCAACTCACTATTAATAACTATAATAATTGAATAAAAGTTACCTTAAACGTGAAATACGGAAAATTCATTTAGAGTTTAAAAGCAAGTATGATTACTTTTACTTACCTAGACATCGGAAACTGTCAAAGTTTATAGGAATATGCTTTGAATTACATGAGTGATAGTTTGGTCGACTATTTGACTCAGTATTATTTGTCCAATCGACTGACCAGTTAGCACAATAATGTGTTCTGTTTTGACCATCAAGCCATCCATTCTCAAAGGAATCTTCCTGGCTTAAAGGATTACATGACTTTAAATTTTCTATGGTTGGTGCTTGTGGTGCACATAAGTGATCATTTAAAAACATGAATGATGACTTTGCTTTCGATTCGCTTTGGTTCTGATAATCTGGATCACTAGCAATACTAGTATCGGTAAAATCAGAGACATTTGATCTTAAATCCATATGAAGATTATTATGATAATTTGAATACTCTGTGTCACTTGATTGAATGTACTCACTAAGATAATGTGGATGTTCGTTGTTAATAATATAAGGATAATTCACAGTTCTCATTACAGAATAATCAGTTTGTGAACATAATTGTACAGGTGTAGAATTAAAATGTTGATCATAGAGATAGTTAGATTGTTGATAATCTTCACCAGAAATAAATTCATTACTGACTGGATGATTATTTTGTATTTTTGTGTCATTGATAAATCCACTTGTCAAAGCAAGAGAGCTAGTGGTATAATGCTTTGAATTGAAAACATCCTTTGTCCATGATAGACCATTATCTGAGCAATCACAATTGGGAGTAATTTCTAGATTATTGTCATTAGAACAATTTTCTCGCAACTCCTTGACGTGCCCCAAAATATTTTTATTTACACTGCCACTTTTATTATTATCATTCATTTTATATGTGATAGGAATGTTGTTATTATTAATGATATTAGAAGTAGTACTGGTATCATTTGGATTATATATAATAGATTGATCGTTAAATGGATAATTTTGCCGTGAAGTAATCCCCATAAATTTAGTAAAGTCATTTTCCAGAAATCTATTCCAGTCTTCATTTTCCATTTCATTAACAGAAGAATCAATTGTGACTGTTGTCGGCTGATTCTGAGTACAGTACCGTTTTTGTGTTGTATGCATATTTCTCGGTTAATATAAATTCATTCGGTATCTAGTGTTCTACATTAATGTATTTTTTGAGAATCACAAAGCAACATTTTTTATATATTATAATCCTTTGATCAGTAATTTTAAACAATACAATCAGAAAAATATTTACGGAATAAAACAAATTCATTAATTTTTCATTGGTTCTAATCAACTACAGATAGTTTTAGGAAGAGAATCAGTGCATAAAGAATTAATGTAAGTTTTAATGTGCTAATTTATATGACAACTACAAAATGCAGCAGATAAAATTACCATTATTTTGATTTATCCATCAGTATAGAATCATATATGTACTTAAAAAAGCTCCATTTCCCGCACCTTAAAGCTATGACGAAAGTGTGAATTTCTATATATTGTGTTGAGCTGAATTACTTCCAGATGTGAAGTAATCTTTACACTAAAATCTATTCGTCCTAAAACTCTGTTGTTGTCTATAGCGCTGATTATTCTCCTTAATCATTATTTTCAGTTAAGTTAATGTTTCGTTATAGTTTAACAACCTTCATATTTATGTCTGACATATATATATATATATATATATATATATATATATATATATATATATATATATATATATTGGGAGAGATAAATAGGTTATTTTGAGAACACATTTTTACGCTCGAAATTTCTGAATATTTAACCAGTGGGCTGTAATGTCTGCTCTATAACCCAGTAATGGTAACTCCAACTGAGCATTTGATCAAAAGATATTTTCTTAGAAACAGATACTTATAATGAAGATCTCTACATGTCCTTTAGTCAAATTGTATTCATGAGTGAATACAAAAAGTAACTATTTATTTTAGTGTCTTATACTACAAGTCATCTTATGAGGAAGCTTGAAAATATACTTCATGTGAACGGAATTTTTACTGTTTATTCATCCCAATTAAAACTTAACTATTTCAACTATGTCAAACTAGGGAACAATGTCCTTTCAATGAAAATTGAGTATGAAAAACTAAAAACACAGAACAAACTTTCCAGCAACTATGATAATTTTTTTCTCGGTTTTGTAAACTGTAATACATTGAGGTGTTTTTTTAGGCATTCACTAAGTGCCATAACAAAATAAAAGTACCACAAGTCCTTATAACCATTATTTAAAATGCCTCACACTATATTTGTTTGATATGCTTTATGAAGTTTACTATTTTTCAACAGAAACAAACAGTAAATAGAAAGCATAGAAAATATTAATACATTCATTTGATGATTACTAAGGTTAATCAGTTAGGAGTAATAGATTATGACTACAAACGCTTTTTAGACATGCTGAGTACCAATAAGCTAGTTTGTAAGGAAACAACAGTGCAATTAGTTTCTCCAAAACGTTTAAAAAAAGATATAATAAAAATATCGACAGGATGCTATGAGTTTACTATATTTTGTGCTTTCTCTTTAACAGCATATAAGATAATAAATCTATTTGCTTAGACTATTAACATAGACGTCTTAGGAAAGAGTTGTTTTCACAGATCTGTAAAATTGCTCAGAATGTAAACTTGTAATGAATGATCCGAATTCATGTGTTCAAATCATTTTGATGGATAAGTATAGTGAATATTCTGGAATATTATTAATTAATGTAACAAACGATTTACGAAGAATATAGAAAACCAAGAAAGAAAATTAGATCTAAATGAATGAACAATAATCACGTCTTACTAAAAGATGAAAATAAGGTTCTTAACAGTTTTTTATATATTACCAAAACAGTTAAAGACTAATCATAGACTTTTTTTGAATATAAACGTCAGGTATTGACCCATCACCATACTTATTCATATAAACTCTCCAAACACATCAATTTGCAGCCTTCGTTACAAGTTTACATTCTGAAAAATTTGATTGATCTACAAAACAACTCTTCATAAATGTTTTGTGTTAATAATTTTAACCAACTATAATCACTATTATATCCAGTTTTATCAAAAGAAGAAAATGCAATGACTTCATCATATTCTGAAAATTAATTTAATTTTTTTTGTTGTTAAAATAAATATTTCCAACTAAACAAACTCTTTTAAGAGCCTGAATAAAGTCAAAGAAATATTGTTTTAAAAATCTTACCTTATCATGATCTCAGGTATTCAAATGAACATATTTTACCACTGAAATTTCACTTTTATCCCAAAAACTCATTTGCGTAACAATTTTTTACTGTATTTTGAAGAGTAATTAACTCGCCACATCAATGTTCAGTTTACTTTGTAGTTAGACAGTGAATGCCTACAAATATATTCTTATTTTATAATTATCCAATCGGTATATTTTAAAAAATTAATAATTGACAATTAACATATGTTTAAAGTAAATCAGAAGACCTCGAATACCATGGGATATAGTGCACTTGAACTGTTACATGTAAATGTTATGTCATCAAATCAAGTGAATTATGCAAGTACATAAATTAATGGATATAGATTTATTGTAAAAATCATTTGAAGTCAGTACATAAATCGAGGTCAAGAAGATAACTGTTTTTCTGCACTCTGATTATAAAATCAATAACAACTAGTATTAGTTGCGAATCTTCATGAAATAACAGAACTTTCGAAACTGTTTAGTGAGTAAATTTAACTATAACATCTAAATCCTTTTTTTTCATTTTAATGTAAAACCATAAAATTAAGTAAGAAATATAAGTACTGTGATTACTGCTCACCCATCCAGCTCACCAGATCTAATCTCCTTTCATTATAACTCTGCTGATCCTCCATCTCAGGTGTATTTGCACCCTTAGTCGTTGTTTAACACAGTTCAAGGTGCCATTCACCTGCATTCCCCAGATTCATAGACTCAAGCCCAAATGGATATTGGTTGTTTTCCAAACGTGATAGCGATACTTAATAAGAGGTGATAAAATATGAGCGTCTTTTTTTCCCGATATATAAAAGCAACCTAAAAAGCATTAATAGTGACTTTCACTAGTAATACCAATCCACAAATTGAATTCACTCATGAATTTTACTTAGCTCTTACTCTACTTTCCCTAATCAAGATTTACTTCTAGGCAATAATTAACGTATCCGGATTGTCGAAGTTCCATGAATTTGTGATGTAAAGAAGGATTTTTGAACTACAAAAATGAAATGCATACAAACAATGTAGTTATACATTTACAAATAAGTAATCACAAGTCTATATTTCGAATAGTTGGCCAGTTGAGTGCTTTAAGTCATCAATGAACTGGTATTTTCGTCGTTGAAAAGCATCGTCGCTTTCTTGCATATATTTGATCAATAAATTAAGATGTTCAGAACAATAACGTCATATCATATAATACAGTTTCCTATGTAGCCCACACTCAGTAAGCTGAGTATACTTCGAGTAAAAATTTACAATGTTCTCCATTTAGTGGAATGGTTATCAAGTCTCGGTGGTAATTAATGGCGTTCAACTAAAATGATTAAAAGAGTATCCTTTTACAAATCCGAAAAGTAAAGCAAGACTAATTCGAGCATGCTTTCAAAATGAATTATTTTCTGAATTGCGAAAACAGTTTTTCAGTATTTGTTATACGGGACTTTACCACCCAATAACAGTCCTTTGAAAATTAAGCAACTCCAGTCAGGAGTATTTATACATATATAATCCCTTTCAAAAGTCCCAGCAACTTTTAATTTAGGGTTAAGATTTAAAATCATGGCACATACCAAGACATAAAGCTTGTGATACTGCAACGACAGCTTATACAACTTGGAACACATGGAACCAAATAAAATTAGCTTTTTCATCTAACTAACAACGATTAACACTAAGCTAAACTTCTCAATAACAGTCATACGCATATAATTAAGGTGAACAATTTACTTTCTAAAGAATTCCTATGATAAATTTTTATCATCCATTTGACAAAGAAAGTGTCTCGCCTTTTCTTTGCTAACCTACAACTTTAATCCCCCGGTTTTTTACTAAGTTTATCGTTTTCGAAATCGTGCCACAAATTTTTTTACTGAGAACAAATAGTGTCTAGATAAAACATAGTTCTGAAAATAATACACTTCACACGTTGATTACACTCCAAGCGAGCTTTTATGGCAATAAAGCTATTTTACTGCCAACATCCTTACTGTTTTCTTAACAAACCAAGAGCTAAAAAACGTTTTCACGCGTTATCGACTCATAACTTATCGCTAATTGACGGCAAGAACCAGTAATTTTAAAAAAACAGTGTCAGTATTTTAGTCATCTAAAATATCAGTATTGTTCCCAGTCAGTCATCAACAGCGTAGAAATTCGTACGTACGTGTGTACTTCAGTTCGAGTTGCCACACTACATTACAACACAAATACAATTGTCGATTCAAATCTAATACTGGTAGACGTAGTAAAAGTATAAGCAGTAATCGGAAAGATTAGGGTTTGAAGATGTTATGCGAGGAGTATAATCTAGTGAAGTGAATTCGGGAAGAGAAAAACGGGAAATGAAGAATTCAGAAGATTAGAATTTGAAAGAACACAAAGAGTGGATGCGTCTGCATTATTGCAAACGGTTTTGAGCCATGTCATTCAAGGTCTATAACCATCGGTTGCTATCGTCTTGCAGATCCCAGCCAGGTAGTCTGCACCTACCAACATGGCTCAGACCACTTGTCAGTGACTCCATGGATTTGTGCCATGTTTTGGTCTGGCCACCTCTAGACTTTTTCCAACCCACTTCTACACCATGAAACATTGCACTTCGGGGCAGTCGGTGGTTGGGCATACGTAACACATGTCTCAGCCATCTCAACTGATGAAGTTTCACTACTTCATCAATTGATATGCCATCCTTACCTAGTACCCGTTTCCTAACAACCGCATTACTTACGCGGTGGTCCTAGGATATACGAGCAATGTTTCAAAGACACCTATGATCAAATACTAGTAACGTACAAATATCCCCTACTCTTACCGGCCATGTTTTACTGCCATAAAGTAGGAAGGAACACACTGATGAGCAGTAAACCCGTCCTTTGGTCGGTAGACGGATATACCGCCTACGCCATAAATGGCGCAAGTTGGCAAAAGCCAGTCGAGTTTTTTGTATCTGTGCTGAGATTTCGTCACACACTAAACCACAAAGACTGATGTGACTCCCAAGACAAGTGGAGTGGTCGACACGCTCAACTACTTCACTCCCTATCATTAGTTCAGGTGCCGATTCAACCCAATTCCGAAGCAACATTTTGCATTTTGAAGGGGAGAACCAAATCTCTAACATGTTTACATTGTTTTTTACTGCGGTCAGAAGACTGCATTTTGTCAGCGTCTTCATCAAATAGAACTATGTCAACGGCATATTTTAAGTCAACAAGTGAATCTCCCGGTAAACGTTCAACCCCTGGAAATTTAGATGAGGAAAGTGTTATCTCTGAAAGCACGTCAACGACAAAGTTGAACAAGAATGGAGAGAGTGGGCGGTCCTGACGAACGCCAATTGAAGTGATCACTTCTGGTGACAGTTCGCCATAAGCTCTCACTCTACCAGTTGTGTTCGAGTAGAGAGCCTTTACAGGGTTAATGTACTTCTTTGTACTCTTTTCAATGACAAACACTGCCATAAAACTTCACGATTGACAGAGTCAAATTCCGCATTAATGTCGAGAAATACTATTATTGGGGGCGTCTGAATGTGTTTCTATGTTCTAAGACGTGGCCTATTGTGAATATCTGGTCTATACAACCACGTCCAGATCGGAAAAAAGCCTGGTTTTCTCTAGTCTGATCTTCACGAGTTTTATTTAGGCGTCAAAGTACCGGTCTAGGAAGCTCGTTATAACATTTTTGACCACAACAACTGTAAACATGGATTTAAAAACCCTATGTAAAACTCAGTTTCCTTAAGATACCTATGGCCACAAATGTAGGTCCAGTACTTATTGTTCCAGTTGCCAAAGATTCAAACAAATTGCACGAGATGATAGAACACACAAACTTGCTCTCATTGTAATTTGATCAATAAAACTCAATCACTAGTAACTAGAGGACACACACGATAGTGATTACTGCTAGGCTATCAATGAATTTAAAGGTTATATTGTTACATATATTTGCTAAGGATCAGTACGGAATTCGGGAATACAATCTTTATAGTGAATACCATCACGTACAGGAAACGCTTCCAGTCATCAAGTGCTGCGGAATCATCCATTTTTAGTGACTGTCAACCAGTCTCTAAGACTGAATGGCATTATTTAATGATAAACTAAACGCCTGCTTTAAAATATTGTTGCTGAGCAAGTGGTTTGTTTTTGTGTTTAGAGGTCGTCCTAGATTACTTGTTTCAAGTATATTGGCAGCAACTTACATAGGAAGCGTTATATTACATTTTTCTACAGTAAAATGCTTTGCATGAACTAACTACAGTTCTCCTCAAAAGTCTAATGAATATTGACAAATATCATTTTGAAATCGTTAAATATGATCTTAGAAACTGAATATATTAATTACTTTTGTGTATACTAAGTAATAATTTTGAATTGATTCAGTTATTATTTAAAGATGGACACGAAATCTAAATAGCATATACCTTTTAAGAGATTATTAATTAATATATCACCTATTTGACTAGATAAATATCCCTACGGAATTCAAACTGTCTTAGGCCAAACATTGTTTTGAAGTTAAGCACGATAAAAATGTAATATTTACAAATAAAATATTTTTTAGTAAAAACTCAATGCGAAATGACAAGAATAACGTAATAATATTTCTCAACCTATTTTTGCCATTGAAGTATAAATTCTTGAAGAAAAACATCTCACAGTTGTTGGTTTTCAATTCTCAATTTATTTCACAAATGTCATACATATAAGATGAATATAATGTATTCCATTACTATATATCATGTAGAAGCTAGAAAACAGATAATCACCTCAATTAATAAGGGTAAATTTCTTAATATTAAACTTTTATAGATACTTTGTTCAGCAAAACACCTTGTCGTAATCGGTTAAACTTGACTATTGTATACGTTTTGCAATGTGAAGATAAGTGGCAAGAAATTAGGATCAACATGTTGGTCACTAGAATCACATGCCGTTTTACTTTTGCCGGAAACTCTAAGAACATTTTTGTCGAACTTTGTTTCTAGCTAGTTTTTTCTCCCAAAGACAAAATGCAAGTTAAATAAATTAAAGGCTGAAAAAGACTAAGAAGACAGTGTTCAAAGTTTACTACTGATTCTGGATAGTCAATTAAACGCCATGTTAAGAATGACCTATGTCTGTTTGACAATATGAAAACATCCAATGAAACGAGATGGAAAATCAACCAGTCAAGCATAAAGAAGGCTTTTTTTATAGATTTTTACACACTTAGGCGTTTAAACTCTAAACAATCGACAGCCTCCTTTTCAGATTGGTATTCGCCGAATTTTTGAAATAATATAATATCCTACCAAAAAGTAATGTTTTTTAACTTATGAAAGTCGTCCTGTGAAAATAGATTGATTCTTCCACAAAAAGATTTGATTTTTGAACAACTAAAAAACACTGTACAATTCTTCTTAAATCACCGATAATTGGTTTCCTGTTGACTACCTCCAACCACCATCTAATCTCAATATAGTGCATGCAGTGTCGAGCCACCTAGACTGGTGGCCACATAGGAACTTGGTCGATAGTATTCGGTCTTCACTAAGAAGGGTTTGAGACACATGACATTGTTCACCACCCAATGATCAATCAATTGTGATAATTCCTCTGTGTTAAACTTCAACACGTTTATGTTACTAAAACATGAGTTAATTGAACCAGATATATCTCATCCTAAAAACGTGAAATTGTTATTTGTGCCCCTAATGACCCCTAATAAAAGGTAATTCGTTCGATTTCTTGCAATATTTCACCTTCGAAAACCCAGTTAGTCTTTAGTATATTATCTTATATGAAAAAACCCAGCCAAATGAACTTAACCTACAGTCAGCAGATTATGAAAGAAGGTATAAATATGCAGCTAATATACGTTTAGCCCATATCTTTTTACGCATGAACTAAAAACTATTTTTTACATTGTTTAAACAGCATACAAATAATTCTATGTCGCTTCAACGGTTTTGTCTAACAAATGTTTTCCTGTGAAACTAGTGACTAAGTGATATCACCTATGAGTAAGCAAATTTCTCAAAACATTGTTATCCCCTTCATTCGAATATTTCAAACGATTTTCAGGTGTCAAAGTGACTCTCAATAAGTACTTAAAAATACTGAAGGATTCTATATCAAAAGTTGATATGTTAAGCCAAAAACACTTGTAGAAAAATGGAAAGAAGAAGCATGAGACTTGGAATACACTTTCACAAATTATAAATTTACCGTGATGCAGATAGATTTATCTTATGCTAAAATGCTAAAATATCTATTGTACTAGATTTGGCTACAAAAAAATGGATTTGATGAACTTGAAAAATCGAATCGAATATCTAAAAATTTAAAAAATAATAATAAATCAAAAATACCATGAAAACTGAGTGAGATAATCTCGTCTTAACAGTGGTAGTAGATATGAATACATCATCCACTATAGCGTAAACAGAAATATTTTTTAAAAAGCCGCCATAGTCAATTCCAACTCTCAATCATGTTCCAAAATCGGAAGAATGCCTTTGTCCTGCTGAAACTAACAAATTTTGATAAGAAAAGCTTCACATTCCTTCAGTTCAAATTTCTCAGGACCACATTATTTTATTCTTTACGGCAACCACTATCTATTACTACATGCGTTATGAAACAGTGTAAGCAATAACCGACATATTATGTTTTTGTCATCCTAAATAACTTTCGACGGTCAACTTCCTCTTTTGACTTCATTCTCAGGTATCACCGTGGCCGGTGACTCAAGTGTGCGAAACAAGGCCCTAAGTTCACTGAAACCTCACTCCAAACTACACATTGGGGCCTTCGAAGTGAGCATCTTATATCAAACCAGCCAGAAGGCCTCCTTGGTTAGGACCCTAGAATCTCGTACGATTGATGTACGTTGTGTCTCAAAAATACTCATACAAGATCCTAATACGGTCATTCAATTAACACACCTAGCCAAAGTGGACAGCAACTATATTTCCTATTATCTTACATTGAATGTTGAAAAGCTACTACTAGTCTAGTTTGTTCGATCAATAGAACGAGTGTCAACTATGAGCACGGAAAACGGCCATTTGAGTATGCAACCTCAATTGGTTTCCATCAAGGTTGTCCGCTTTACCCCTCTTTGATCAAACTCATCATAAACATACTGATGGGAATAACAATCTAATCGACTGAATTTCGGGCACTGATCTCCTACCAGAAGGTACACTTATCAACCTAGAATACCCAAATGACATAGTCCTGTTTGCTGAAGACTCTCGTAAAATTCAGAGTCTAATGCCAGCACTGAACACCAATGTCAGGATGTTCACGACGCATATCTCCCCCTCTAAATGCAAGTTTTTCCTTCAGTAGTGACCCGCGCAGACACGTGAACTAAGGATAGGGAGTGAAGTAGTCGAACGCATCGAAAACGTCACTTTCCTCGGAGGTCTGATCAGCCCTAATGGGTTGGTGTCTGACGAAATCACAGCACGGATTCAAAAAGCTCGCTTGGTTTTTCCCAACTTACGTCACCTATGGAGAAGGCGAGATATCCGTCTCTCAAATAAGCGACGAGTATACTGCTCAACAGTTCGTTATGTTCTACTTTACGGCTGCGAAACGTGATCATTAAGAGTAGAAGATAGTCGTAAGCTACTAGTATTTGACCACAGATTCTTTAGAAATGTTGCTGACGTCTACTAGGAGGTTAGACGCAGGGCATTAGGGAATGATGGTAAATCAGTTGATGAGGTTGTGAATCTTCATCGACTGAGATGGTTGGGCCACGTGTTACGCATGCCTGAACACCGATTACCACGAAGTGCAATGCTAACCGGTGTTGGAGATGGTCGGAAGAAAGTTAGGGGCGGCCAAACCAAAACGTGGCATCAGTACTTGAAGTCACTAAATTCTAATCTGATCCATGTTGGTAGATGCAGACTACTTGGTTGGGGTCCGTGTGACTATCGTAACCAATGGTTGGAGACTCTTGGTGACATGGCTCAGAATCGATCACAATGGCGTCGGTGTATACACTCTGTTTTCCCTTAAACTAAGAGATTAAAATCGCTTCATATCTTTCTTTCTACGAACTAATTCTTTCATCATGTACTATATACTTATTGCAATCTTTCCTTTATATATTACCACCTCTGAATTAACTACTTTTATGAATCCGGTGTCCATCTTGTTGTATTAATGAAGTATGGCAACTTGGACCGATGCATATATGTACCTAGTCCTACGTTGTAGCTGTCTGAATGACATCATATTGCTCAGCCACATAGACTGCTAAGTGCTGAATATGCTGAGCTCACAAAAAAATTCCATTGATCTTCGTCGTCCCAATGAGTATACTGTGGAATCGATAGAATGTGATACCAGTAATCTTTTTCGTTAGGAACCTCAACAATTATTTGGATTCGTAGACAACAACTGTAGACACTAAATTTTTATTTACAATCATTATCAACAAGTTCAAGACATTCCCCTAACCAAGACTGTTCTTCAACCACCTATCACAGATCATGAAAATCAAATATTTCACCCCTACTGCCAAGCGCATAATCCAGGTATTCTGTCATGTTTTAGTTTCTCATAACACTGTACGATTATTTCAACAAGTTCTTAATCAGACAGAATTCCTACGTTTTTATCAGGTAAAAACTGAGCTAACTTAAACATGTTACCTATATAAACAATTATATCTAATTTCATATTCACACCTACCTTTTGTTCTCTGCATAGTTTATAATAGTCTTAAAATGTCACTTGTTCATATCTAGCCTATGGTTTTCACATTTTGAAGTCGTACCTCGTCTTATAATTGACACAATGAAGTTACACTTTCGAACTCGCCTCGCGCCAGTATCATAAACACATACACTTGGTGATTAGAACTACACCTCTTATTTTGATGTCCTGTACTTCCATCACTGATATGCGCAAACCTATAGAAAGTACATTTCGTTCTCCTATAGACTTGATTATACGTTCTGATCAAAATGGACATTGTGGAGATCGTAGCAATTCTAATAGTTGAATTCATGAGTCGATCTAAGATAGACCACCAGTGAGAACCTGGACGGCCTGCATGCAGGAAACGATTTCTAAGTTAAATACCAAGTTTTTCTGTAGAACGTAGTGTAAGATCCAAACTAAGGTTTGGACTGTAGAATAGCTGTCTAGGTGTGTTAGATGCGCACCCTTGCCCGGTTGAAACCAAATCAAAGTAACTGAGTAAAATGACGGTTCTAAAATTCATCATAAATTTAAATGTACATTCTTACCTAAACAAATATGACCACCGAATAGGAAAAAAAGAATTCAGCGAAAAAAATTTTCTTTCCGACAAAATCATTTACTTAAGCTGTACATTCGTATATATAGTTATATGGAAAATATATCTATAGAAAAATAGAAAGGATTGCATCACAAAAATGGATTCGAGAATAAATATCAAATGAGGTTAACGTGTAGTGGCATTGACAATACCGCACAATCACAAAGCTGAAACAGCGACTACTCAGAAAATAGATATT